GATTTATCAGTCATGCCTGCCCCAAAAATGATATATTCCAGAGGGTGTGAATTAATATTCATTTATTTTCAGTGTAGTACAATACTCCTATTGACAGTTTCCTAGTTTATGTAGAACAGCTGTTTTCAAAATCAATTATAACCAGAACAACGGCAACGCCAAAGCATAGCGAATCCCATCGAACAGAAATGGCTGGCATTTTTACAAACGAATAGCAAATATCATAAAACAACACACATAAGAAAGGCCACCATTTTCAAAATGGTTGCTCACTAGCCAAGTTGTCATCAGAAGAAATAATATGCTTTCAGTAGCCACCTCTAAAATTTTTGAAAAATCGCACACGTACTTGTAAAATAACACACATAAAAATGGTGGCCATTTTTCAAAATCGCCGACTACTCCCCAAAGTTTTATTAGAAAATTTGCCATTCTTAAAGTATTCACATATCAAATATGAACAAAATCGCTCCACTACTTTTTGAGTTATAGTAAAATACGTTAAAATGGCGGCCATTTTTCAAAATGGCCACCTTCTACCAAAAGTGTCATTAGAAATAGACAGTGTGCCATGCTTATAGTATTCACATACCAAATATGAACAAAATTGCTCCACTACTTTTCGATAATAATAGTAAAATACGTTAAAATGGCGGTCATTTTTCAAATTTTTTTTCAAAATGGCCGCCTTCTACCAAAAGTGTCATAGGACAGTGTGCCATGCTTATAGTATTCACATACCAAATATTAATGCCTTCTACCAAAAGTGTCATAGGGCAGTGTGCCGTGCTTATAGTATTCACATACCAAATATGAAAAATTGCTCCACTACTTTTCGAGTTATAGTAAAATACGTTAAAATGGCGGCCATTTTTCAAAATGGCCGCCTTCTACCAAAAGTGTCTCAAGACAGTGTACAATGCTTATAGTATTCACATACCAAATATGAACAAAATCGCTCCACTATTTTTTGAGTTATAGCAAAAATCGTAAAATGACGAGTAAAGGCCACCGTTTTTCAAGATGGCTGCCATGTGCTTCTTTAATATCTACATTTGTAGCATTATTAATGTCCTTTATAACTTTTTACATTTAAAACATATTGCTATAACAGTTTTACATATTGCACCTAAATTACTGTAAAATCCGCACTAAAATGGCTGCCATTTTGAAATGAGCGGCCATTTTGAAAATCGGCTCTCGAGCAGAACTTCTACCCCCATAAGGTATATGTGTACAAAATATGAACAAAATCGGGCCAACGGTACTTGAGTCATTGCCCGGACGGACGGACGTACGTACGGGCAGACGTACGTACGGATGTACGTACGGACGGACGGAGGCGTTCCCTATATCCCTCCGAACTTCGTTCGATGGGATAATAAAAACATTGGAGTGTCAATCAGTTTTACTCCACTTGCTATTCTTTGATAATGCCAAATAGAAATATTACGAATTGGAAAGTTACAACTAGATTTCTGACATCATAAAGCTTGTATACCTAGGCTGTGGTAATCATGGTGGTATTGTTCAGATCACCAAGGTTTATTCACTCTACTATACCTAACCCCTAGAAATGCATAAGATACTCTGTTTGTCCAATTGTATTGTTTAGTATAATTTTGAAAGTACCTTATTAACATCTAACATCATCCGATAAACCATTCATAAGGAACAGACACATAAAAACAAATAACATAATCATTACTAATAAGCCAAAAAGGGTTGCTCATGAACACCAAATGCAAGGTATAGCAGTGTTATTGTATCATATGGATTTAGTTTCTATTTTTAATTTTATTTATAAGTTGCTCATTGTGTTTTTAAGCTCTATGGTGGCTGTAGTGGCTGTATGGCAGCTGTAGCTTCACAAAATTGATTTAGAAAATCTACATCATACTGCTTATTCCTATATTTTATGCATATTTTCCAATTTTGAAAGGTACAGCTGATATAGGGTTGCCGTTGATCAAATGTGACTGAGGCATTAATGATGATTTGGCAAATCTATTCATAAATCTAAGTCTAACATACATGTTCATCTGCAATAATGGTATATAATATGCATGGCTTTGTAGAGTTAACCTTAAATGCATTGAATGACTAGCTTTAATCCCAATGACCTAATTTCATTTTACATATGTTCATAATTCAATTGATTAATTCCATATTTTTCAAACTTTTATGGGGAATAGGGACTTCTGGGTAGGGCCAGTTCCTTTGTAAAGGATATTGATTTAAAGATTCTAGTTTGCCTGAACAACAGTATACTAGATATACTCGTTCATGTAGTAAATTAATTTTAGTTCTAGGTAATAAAAGATAAATAAATTGGTGGGAAAGGATGGCTGTCAGAAAAAATTGGATATACAGTACTTCGATATTCATATTCATTTTAAGCCATGGGCATAACTGTAATTTTGAACAACTGGAGTAAAATATATCTGCGTGGATTTCATGAATAACATACCAACATGTTTTTACAAATATCCTGAGTTTTTCTGTACGAAGCTTTTATATATCTCTAAAATATGCCCTTTCAAAGATAAAGACGATTGCAAAATGGGATCTACTGAAAGGATTTCTAATCTACCCCATTAAGACTATATGAAAGGCTGTTAGTCACCAATTCATAATCAACAAAATATTGAATTATTTTCACATATTCATTTATTTGCAAAATATTCGACCTGATCTACTGTGGAGATACTTATAAAAGGGTAACTCCTCTACAGCAAATACTACTTATTGATACATAATAGTTGTGTCATATAATAAAACCTATTATTATATCACTATCTAGCTAGCGACAGTATGATTGGTCAAAACCGGGTCACATATCGTGGGATATCTGGCGATATTCAATGGCAATGCTAATCAGATAAGACAACCGTGAGATATCTAGCGATATCCCACGCTCCCGGGAATTTTCAAAGAATTTGTTTTCGTTCAGTGTAAATAATTTAGTTCAGTGTAAGTCAAAATGGCAGACGAACCGAGTAGATTCAATGTATTTCAATGTTAACCTATGACTTAATAATATTAGGGATGTTTAGCTAGACAGTGATATAATAAAACAAATATTTCACTCTATTTTCGGTGAATACCTGTAGCACTTTCACAAGGTGATATTCCACTTGCCCTTCGGGCTTCGTGGAATATCACTTGTGAAAGATGTACAGGTATTCACCTCAATAGAGTGAAATATTTGACCAATATTGCTATGATATTACCAGCTGCTTTTCACTCTGTCCTTTTATAACAAACAAGCATTCTATTCTGATTTAAAGTTGCAAATGGCTGTCATATCATATACACTTAAAAATAGACTGAATACTCCAGAATTACAATGTCCTTAAAATGGTATATTATAAAGTCAGTTTTGCTGTAGAGAGGATGCCATTGTACTTGACACCCTGTATATAATAACCATCATACATCTGAATTGCAAGTAACATTACAAAGATATTGTTTCAATAGTGCATATATAAGTTATCAAAATGATTCAGAAAAAATGGTATGTATAGTACAATGTTGTGCTCTATTTTCAAACCCTTCAAACACACAAAAATCAAAGCGCCGAGAAATCATAATTCTAATGAGGGCATATAAGGCCCTTTACTGCACTTCAAAAACAACCTTCATACAAAACTAGCAATGTACAACAATATTGTGATCATATGTTAGTATTTGGGCTAAAATGATTGGTAAATTCTCAAACAGAATATTTGGCAGGCTAATCCTTCTTTAATATGAAGTATTCAAAGATGACGTGACACTAAAGATGTTTCCATAAGAAGAGTAATTAAATGTTGTTTCGATTGGCAGGGCATATTTTTGCAAGTGACTAAATACTGACTATGGGATATGCAAATGATATATAACTTCTTTTAATGTTTTGATATATATCTTTAAGCCATTCGTCAACTGCAGAAATTATCAGGGATAGACAAGGCATTAACATGCAAAATGTCACCACCTGACATTTGTTACAGACAATAAACACCATCCACAAAAAAGTTGGAGACCATAACAATGTATAACCACTTGTGGTGGTGACATAAAAAATTATGATAATTGTGCACTTTATGGTCACTAGATTTGAATGTCAATTTTTTATTCAAATATTACTTCAAACTTATTTGCTACAGAGTGAGTAGACTATTTGTTTCACCCATAGTCTTAATCAAGCTTGTCATAGTAAACAATATAAAATATGAGCCCTATGAAATACATTTGAATTTATAAACTATAATTGATGCTTACACAATGAAAACATTTCTCATTAAGGCATTACATTACATGGCAAGTAAATATAAATACATTATGCATTATTATTGGATTTTCACCCTGTCTTATACAAGAACAATGCTATTTCAATAAAGTAAAATACTAAAATTTACTAAGGGATTCAGTGCTCTTATTGAGGTACAATAACAATCACATTGTATTGAGGTATTTTCCCCTATTTGTTGAAAAATCTTTGGCGACTGCAGTCTCATTGCATGTGTTTACTCATTACATGTTTGCGTCTATTCTGATGCTATTGTCATCTTCAAATCGCTATTATCCATTCATAATCCATGAATGCAATGAACTGAAAAAATTTATGTTTATATAAATGTATATCTACATGTTTGTCATTAAAATTGCTTTCTGGTGCTTGTATCATTAAGTTCAGTGACTATAAAGCTCAATTATTTACACTGTTGAAATAGTACGAGATAGTCACAAGCATTTGCTGACATCTTTTTTATTCAAAGCAGACTTTATGACTTTATGACTTTGCTGCATTTCAACTGTCACAATGAATATCCATATGTTACTTTAAGTATGAGTGTGCCACTTTAATCAAAAAAAATATCAGTGTGTCACTTCAAGTACCAGTGTGTCACTTCAGCCATGTCCATCAATGTGTCTTTGTGACTATATAATTACATCTCAACTTACAGCTTTCAAATGTTAAATATTTTTACTGTAATTTTTTTTATTGTTGGATGTACGTTTGGCCCTAGTAGGGCTCCAGTACAAATAAATCCTATTATAAAACATAATGTACATATCTATGTGTCTCTGTTTCTATAGCAACCTGGATCTCCATGCAATAACATAATTTGCTCTGAATTAACATGTGATTCCATGTATACACATGTAGCTGCATGTATGAGCATGAAATTGTATATGTTATTGTGTAACTCCATCTATTGTCATGAAGCTCCATGAATTAACATGTAGCTCAAAATATCAAAATTATGACTCCATGTATTTATTATTAACATTGTGTCATGTGATCATGTATTGACATGTGACTCCATGTATTAACATGTAACACAATACATTTACATAGACACCTGTAATCTATGCATCCATATTCCATTATTGGTCCATAATGGAACAGACTGGCCATCCTGTACAACTAAGGGGCTACCTTAAATAAGTGCTGGACCTTCAATCGAGTTGACTTGGAGCTCAGACTATCTTGTGCTCACTGAAAGGACTGTGTGTAGATTCATAGTCTAAATGTACAAAGGCACGTTCTACTTCTGGAAGACGTTCTATCTTGTGTTGTAAAGCTTCGCCAATGTCATGTGCCATTCTAAGTCCCATAAACTCTGATAACACAATGTCCACTTCTGCTAAGAAATTATTGCCTGAAAATGTAAATGGGGACTATCAAACAACGATAATACAGAGCTGACTTGTAAATGAGAATGATATACCATGTGATTTTACCCATGAGGTTCGAAGAAAAAATGTTATGGTACAAAAATTGTATATAACACTTTTTAGTCCTGTCCCTAGCCTCTCTGAGCTTACTCGGATTTAGAATGAAATAACTTTTGATTTTCTTTTAGTAGATACCCTGAAGTGTAGGAATCCATAAGTTATTTTTCCAGGTTTGGGTAAAATCAATTTTTATGGCAGGTTATAGTGGCGCCATCTAGTGATTTTAAAGTTGCAGGGTGATAATCTTAATTAATTTTTTTTTCAGCCAAACCTAATTTCATATTTATTTTTTTGCTTTTTCCTTAGAGACTACTTCCTAAACTATGCATTTGAATTTTTAGGTGATCCTGGAAGGTTATTTGATGGGTCATTTTGCCTCAAAAATACAGAAGCGCCACCTATAATCAAGGGTCTACCTTATAAAGTTTATTATTCTGAGGCTGTTATGGTAGATAAATTTGTTATTATTGGTGTAATAATTAGAACCATAAAGGGGACATATGATGCAGTATCAAATTAATATATGTGGGACATGGGAACTTTAGAAAAATTTTTTTTTGTAAAAGTGGAAGAAATTTGACAAAATATCAGTTTTTACATATTACCAAATACATATGCTTTTTTTTATTTCTAAGGTAATCCTTATATGATGTAACAAGTACAAACAAATACATTTTGATTTTTGAGAATATGAATGAAGTAATTGTAGGGCTGAATTTTGGTTTTGGCCCATTATTATTATTTAATTATTCTGTGTTTGATATACACCCCTTATTATATCAAAGACTCAACTTCTGGAAATACAACATGGTACTTAATGAATGTATGAAATGCTTTTCCTGAGTTTCTTTGTATTAATAGAGTATAACATCTATTAATCATATCATTTCCATAAGTGTGCACTTTTAGAATAAATTATATTTTATTTTACAGGTAATTTTTGCCAGAAACATTTTGTATAAAATTAGAGCTTCTCAAAAGATGTTTCTACACTTTTCAAATAAAAAATGATCCTTCAATCTATCCCACCCAAATGGAGTTAGATCTAATTTTATATTATATTTATACCATCATAAGTTAATATCAAACTCAAAACTGAAACTCCTGTTAAAAGCCATGGCAGCTAATTTTGGGGTAATTTACATCTTATAAGCATGAAGGTTGTTTAAAACAGTAATCCTCTATAATTGACTTATTGATTAACCTCTGTTTTTGTATTTAGTATATATTTGAGACTACAGATGAACATGTATTGAATTGGTGGAAACAAAATTATTAAAATGTGATTAAAGTAAGTAAGCTTAAGGTTTATTTAAGATATAAAGATTCCTCATCTTCGACAAAATAGAAGAATTAAAATTATGATCACTTAGAATGATTCAAATTATTTCTAATATAGAATGTAAGTTGGTGTCTAGGAAAATAAAATCTGTGATGCTTCCAAGTACTTAGAAACACTCGATTTTTGAAAGATTTTTGAACGAAGCAAAACTTTCTTTTACGTGCTATTTTACAATTTTTGCAATTACTTGAAAAGTAGTCGAGCGATTTTGTTCATATTTGGTATGTGACTACTTATTAGCATGACACACTGTTTTATGACACTTTGGCTTTTGAAAATGGCCGCCATTTTTAAACGTGTTATTTTATGTCCTTTACTATAACTCAAAAAGTAATAGAGCGATTTTGTTCATATTTGATATGTGAATACTCATAAGCATAGTTCACTGTCTAATGACAATTTGGCCGCCATTTTGACACGTGTTATTTTACGTTCTGAGCATGGCACACTGTTTTATGACACTTTGGCAGCCATGGCTGTTCGATGGGATTTGCTACACTTTGGCGTTGCTGTTGTCTAGTTATATAATAATCTTAAATTGATTAATTTTTAGACATTCTTGGTAAATGTTGAGGTGGCCAATTTTGATTTTGCCTAAAATCTTGTCTGTAAAGTTTTGTCTATATGCATTTCCTGGCCAACTGATAAGCTTTTGGGCATTCTTGATAAGGGGTAAGGTGGCCATTTTGGATTTTTTGGTGTCCCGAATAATCTTGTATACAGGTTTCCAGCCAAACAATTTGAGGGATTCATTTGAAATTTTCAGGGATGTTTCTACTTATGAAAGTTCAGAACTGATTAGTTTTTCGGCATTCTTGGTAAATGTTAAGGTGGCCATTTTGGATTTTACGTCCTAAAATCTTGTGTCTCAAGGCTTGTCTACAGGTTTCCACTCCAACCGTTTGAGGGATTCATTTGAAATTTTCAGGGATGTTTCTACCTATGAAAGTTTAGAACTGATTAGTTTTTTGGCATTCTGGGTAAAAGTTAAGGCAGCAATTTTGGATTTTGTGTTCTTAAATCTTGTCTGTCAAGGCTTGTCTTCAGGTTTCCAGCCAAACCATTTGATGAATTCTTTGGAAATTTTAAGGAATGTTTCTACCTATGAAAGTTTAGAACTGATTAGTTTTTTAGGCAGTCTGGGTAAAGGTTAGGGTGGCCATTTTGGATGTTCCGTTACAAAAACTGTATTCTATTCAAGGGTGCGATTCTGTTCACACTGTGCCTTGTTAAATTTTCTATCAAAAATGGGCTGATTCCCCTCCGTTCATTATGTTCCATCACCAGGCATATAAATCACTTTATAGAAAATTATATCATTTTGAAAAAGGTATATCATATACTTATATATTTTATGTGTGCGATAGACTGTATTGGCACAATTTAAAAATGAGTTGATGAGAATATAAGCAAAGCTTTACCTGCAATTCACTTCCTTACTGGTTCAGATGTTACAAGTAAAGTTGGTACAAAACCTGCAGCATTGAAAGTAAAACCAGAATACATTCAAGGTTTAGCAACCTTTGGGGAGAACCTAAGTGATGAAAATTGCAGTAAAGCTGAAGTGTTTCTTGTACAAGTTTTGAAATCTGGGTCAAAATGTATGACCATGAATAAATTTAGGAACTGGATGTACCATCACTCAAAATCAGCTCAAATAAGCTCATTGCCACCCACATCACACCTACTAACAGACCACATAAAACGAGCTCACTTAGCCACATATCAAGTCCAGCATGTTCTAGATGAAGAAGCTGTAACACTTGATCCCCTACAATATGGCTACATGAAGGACCCCACAAATGATTCTCTTATCCCAAAGCAGGACATAAGGATTTGGCCTGAAGATTTGATAAAGCAATGTACATGCAAAACTTGCAGCCAGGCATCATGTGGATGCAAACAGAGTGGGCAACACTGCATATCATTCTGCAAATGCACAAGTTTACAAACAAATAAATGTAAAAATCCCTTTTTAAAAGAGAGTGAACTTTTGGAGGCAATGCTTAATTAATGTTTTATGCTGATAAAATGAACTGTTTTAATCAAATATAACAAAACAAATTGAATGTAACAGTTGTTTTCTAGTCTCTTATTTTACAATGAATTGGAATTTAGGTAGAATCAGATCAGGGAGCAGTTTTCAAAAATATTGATGTCATATTCGTAATCACATCTATTTTCTAGAAATTCAAAGCAGTGCATTCTTTATTAAAAAATAGAGGTATATCTGTTAATACGTTCAAGTGTTTTGCTGTGGATATATATACTTTGAATCTGAAATATGGTTATATTATTTCATAAAATAGCATGTATCTATTAGGAGGTACAATATTTGAAATGGTCAGGAAGACTTGGGGAGGCTAAAAGCGCATTTTGCTTTCAATTTTGTCATTGTTCTCTATGTTTCTTACTTTGCCTTCAAAAATCATACATGATTTACAAACAAATGAAACTTATAGAAAAATATATTTTCTATAGATGGCGCCTTTTATGCATGGTTTCATTCTGTCTATAATGTATTCATTGATAACCGTAATTGTCAACCATAAGCTTAACTTGTCTAAATATATATTTTTCTACTTGTTACATCATGTTAGGTTTACCTTAGAAATAAAAAGCATATGTATTTGGTAATATGTAAAAACTGATATTTTGTCAAATTTCTTCCACTTTTACAAAAAAAAATTTTTCTAAGTTCCCATGTCCCACATATATTAATTTGATACTGCATCATATGTCCCCTTTATGGTTCTAATTATTACACCAATAAAAACAATTTTATCTACCATAACAGCCTCAGAATAATAAACTTTATAAGGTAGACCCTTGATTATAGGTGGCGCTTCTGTATATTTGAGGCAAAATGACCCATCAAATGACCTTCCAGGATCACCTAAAAATTCAAATGCATAGTTTAGGAAGTAGTCTCTAAGGAAACAGCAAAAAAATAAATATGAAATTAGGTTTGGCTGAAAAAAAAATTAATTAAGATTATCACCCTGCAACTTTAAAATCACTAGATGGCGCCACTATAACCTGCCATAAAAATTGATTTTACCCAAACCTGAAAAAATAACTTATGGATTCCTACACTTCAGGGTATCTTCTAAAAGAAAATCAAAAGTTATTTCATTCTAAATCCGAGTAAGCTCAGAGAGGCTAGGGACAGGATCATTTACAATCTGATCATATTCCCACTGACTATGTAGCCCTGGCTGTGTTGAACTCTACATACCCCCTTAAATACTAAGGTTCCCACGGTTAATAAGAACCTCACATTCACACCTTTGGCACAATGAAAGATTCTTCCCAAAATGATATGCCCTGACTGTATCTTCCTCTACAGCCCATCCCTTCACTAGCCATCATTCACACCTTTGGCACAATGAAAGATTCTTCCCAAAATGATATGCCCTGACTTTATCTACCTCTACAGCCCATTCCTTCACTAGCCATCATTCACACCTTTGGCACAATGAAAGATTCTTCCCAAAATGATATGCCCTGACTTTATCTTCCTCTACAGCCCATCCCTTCACTAGCCATCATTCACACCTTTGGCACAATGAAAGATTCTTCCCAAAATGATATGCCCTGACTTTATCTACCTCTACAGCCCATTCCTTCACTAGCCATCATTCACACCTTTGGCACAATGAAAGATTCTTCCCAAAATGATATGCCCTGACTTTATCTACCTCTACAGCCCATCCCTTCACTAGCCATCATTCACACCTTTGGCACAATGAAAGATTCTTCCCAAAATGATATGCCCTGACTTTATCTACCTCTACAGCCCATCCCTTCACTAGCCATCATTCACACCTTTGGCACAATGAAAGATTCTTCCCAAAATGATATGCCCTGACTGTATCTTCCTCTACAGCCCATCCCTTCACTAGCCATCATTCACACCTTTGGCACAATGAAAGATTCTTCCCAAAATGATATGCCCTGACTGTATCTACCTCTACAGCCCATCCCTTCACTAGCCATCATTCACACCTTTGGCACAATGAAAGATTATTACCAAAATGATATGCCCTGACTTTATCTACCTCTTCAGCCCATCCCTTCACTAGCCATCATTCACACCTTTGGCACAATGAAAGATTCTTCCCAAAATGATATGCCCTGACTGTGTCTACCTCTAAAGCCCATCCCTTCACTAGCCATCATTCACACCTTTGGCACAATGAAAGATTCTTCCCAAAATGATATGCCCTGACTTTATCTACCTCTACAGCCCATCCCTTCACTAGCCATCATTCACACCTTTGGCACAATGAAAGATTCTTCCCAAGTCAACATTCATGCCTTTGGCACAATGAAAGATTCTTCCCAAAATGATATGCTCTGACTTTATCTACCTCTACAGCACATCCCTTCACTTGCCAACATTCACACCTTTGGCACAATGAAAGATTCTTCCCAAAATGATATGCCCTGACTGTGTCTACCTCTACAGCCCATCCCTTCACTAGCCATCATTCACACCTTTGGCACAATGAAAGATTCTTCCCAAGTCAACATTCACGCCTTTGGCACAATGAAAGATTCTTACCAAAATGATATGTCCCTACCTCTACAGCCCATCCCTTCACTAGCCATCATTCACACCTTTGGCACAATGAAAGATTCTTCCCAAAATGATATGCTCTGACTTTATCTACCTCTACAGCACATCCCTTCACTTGCCAACATTCACACCTTTGGCACAATGAAAGATTCTTCCCAAAATGATATGCCCTGACTGTGTCTACCTCTACAGCCCATCCCTTCACTAGCCATCATTCACACCTTTGGCACAATGAAAGATTCTTCCCAAAATGATATGCCCTGACTGTGTCTACCTCTACAGCCCATCCCTTCACTAGCCAACATTCACACCTTTGGCACAATGAAAGATTTTTCCCAAAATGATATGCCCTGACTGTGTCTACCTCTACAGCCCATCCCTTCACTAGCCAACATTCACACCTTTGGCACAATGAAAGATTCTTACCAAAATGATATGCTCTGACTTTATCTACCTCTACAGCCCATTCCTTCACTAGCCAACATTCACGCCTTTGGCACAATGAAAGATTATTACCAAAAAGATATGCCCTGACTTTATCTACCTCTACAGCCCATCCCTTCACTAGCCATCATTCACACCTTTGGCACAATGAAAGATTCTTACCAAAATGATATGCTCTGACTTTATCTACCTCTACAGCACATCCCTTCACTTGCCAACATTCACACCTTTGGCACAATGAAAGATTCTTCCCAAAATGATATGCTCTGACTGTGTCTACCTCTACAGCCCATCCCTTCCCTAGCCAACATTCACGCCTTTGGCACAATGAAAGATTATTACCAAAATGATATGCCGTGACTTTATCTACCTCTACAGCCCATCCCTTCACTAGCCATCATTCACACCTTTGGCACAATGAAAGATTCTTCCCAAAATGATATGCCCTGACTTTATCTACCTCTACAGCCCATCCCTTCACTAGCCATCATTCACACCTTTGGCACAATGAAAGATTCTTCCCAAAATGATATGCCCTGATTGTGTCTACCTCTACAGCCCATCCCTTCACTAGCCAACATTCACGCCGTTGGCACAATGAAAGATTCTTACCAAAATGACATGCCCTGACTGTATCTACCTCTACAGCCCATCATTCACAAGCAAACATTCATGCTTTGGCACAATGAAAGATTCTTCCCAAAATGATATGCCCTGACTGTATCTACCTCTACAGCCCATCCCTTCACTAGCTATCATTCACACCTTTGGCACAATGAAAGATTCTTCACTAGCCATCATTCACACCTTTGGCACAATGAAAGATTCTTCCCAAAATGATATGCCCTGACTGTATCTACCTCTACAGCCCATCATTCAAAAGCAAACATTCATGCTTTGGCACAATGAAAGATTCTTCCCAAAATGATATGCCCTGACTTTATCTACCTCTACAGCCCATCCCTTCACTTGCCAACATTTACGCCTTTGGCACAATGAAAGATTCTTACCAAAATGATATGCTCTGACTTTATCTACCTCTACAGCCAATTCCTTCACTAGCCATCATTCACACCTTTGGCACAATGAAAGATTCTTCCCAAAATGATATGCCCTGACTTTATCTACCTCTACAGCCCATTCCTTCACTAGCCATCATTCACACCTTTGGCACAATGAAAGATTCTTCCCAAAATGATATGCCCTGACTGTATCTACCTCTACAGCCCATCCCTTCACTAGCCATCATTCACGCTTTTGGCACAATGAAAGATTCTTCCCAAAATGATATGCCCTGACTTTATCTACCTCTACAGCCCATCCCTTCACTAGCCAACATTTACGCCTTTGGCACAATGAAAGATTCTTACCAAAATGATATGCCCTGACTGTGTCTACCTCCACAACCTTTTGATGATGATTGAGACAGATCCATGTGATTTTCTTCAGTAGGTCTGGCCTTGCAGTGTGCCCAGTCAGCAGCTTGATTTGTTCTGAAAAATACAAGTTCAATGTTATTGTATTTTATATCAACCCCTTCCCTCAATATCATGTATAAGGCATGCCACAAACACATTTTTGTACTGAAGTAAACTATTTTTAAAATTTCATTTTATGAATTAAACAAATGCTGACTGAATTGTTGGAATATTTGCCATTATATGGGAACACATTTTATATTACCACCTCACACTGGCATTATCAGACTAAGCACTCTGTAAAATGACTATACAGAGAGAGGCTATAAACCTGGTGTAAAGACAACATTGAAAATGACCACTATGGTGCTTTATTACAGTTGAAGAAGTTTCCCTTACCCCAACCAGTGACAATCCAGCTGCCAATGATGTAAATACTAATGAGTATAGCTCCAATGGGGTCGGCAAATGGCCACCATTTATACCCTGTAAAAGCAAATTGTTAGTTAAAGGAATATGTCCAAGATGGAATGCTCCATACTTCATTCTTTTGTCAAGGGTGTTCATTTTCAGATGTCTATATTGATATCTACTAAGATTTTTATTTTAGTTGCGTTATTTCAATTTAATGTGTGCTTGTCGTAATTGTAAATGTGTAACTGTCAAACCCAACTGTCATAAGAGGTAACAGGGATGTACTGAGGTAATTTACATAAATCTTTCTAATTTTGTTCGAGTTTAGATAAATAACATACAGTAACATACATATGTACATACATGTAATTTGTAACATATTTTATTTGCAACAAAAATTGGATAAATTAATACACGTTGGTCAATAACTACAGCATATGTTCTACTCACCTACAAAACCTGCTGCCAAGGCTATAATGTTTGATAAGACATCATTCCTATGGTCCTGAGCAAGTGCTTGTATACTTGGATTAGCCAATCTCCTACACATCATAAACAGCACAAATTTGATGACTGAAAAGACACACAAATACAAACATTTAACACTTTGAAATTAAACGTTTGATCTCTTGTCATTGTATACATGATGGTTATATTAGTCACAGACAAGACTTAAATACTTAATGAGCAAAAAATTCATATCTTTGAATTCTTGTTTTTCTCAAACTTAAACGTGTGATTACGAACACCCCTCTTGAGTAAACACATCACAATATGAACACTTATAATGTATAAATTGTAAATGTCCATGATTGAATTTCTACAAGGTTGCCATAACAATTCAAGCAGATAGATGCTGCCATCTATAAAGGTCTTTTTGAAATGGTTCTCAATTTTAGTGTATTTTTCGTTTTATCACCCAAATCTTATCAGAAACAGGACAACCTTTGAATCTTTAATTCATTTTTGACAAAAAAAAAATTACAGAGGGTATGATGTCTTTAATTCAATTGATATAGCACTACAGACTTAGATAAGGTATTCACATAAGTGTTTCCATTTGTCAAATATGTCAAAGAGGAAAGCCAAATCCTGAATATGAATAAGGTCTGGAATAAATGTACATCATTCCTGGGAAATAAATTCTGAAGTACAATGTCGATTTTTATGCCTGAATAAATATTATATCAGTTACAGCTTTTATTCGAAGAGTACTCAAGCTTGACAGATCACATCATATTGCGATACCATCAACCTGGGTCACGCTACCTTTTGATGTATTAGAAAAATCTTGAGAGAATATTCAATTACAAATGTTTGCTTCTCAGCGAAACACTCGTATCATTTTCAAAAGATCCAGACTTATTATTAATAGGCCATTTCCAGGTAATATCTCAACTTCACTCAATTCATCTTCCACTTTAGTTTTTTCCCTTTTTATTTAGTTGAAATGGAATGATATGATCCAATGATATTGATTAACAAAGCAATAATACAGGCACTTTCTGAAACTATGAAATGCACATTGAGTTGGTAACTAACGAACTGATGTAAAATTAAAGTCTAATCAATGAGCCATGGAATGAGTTCAGTAAGATTACTGGGGACATGGGTAGCTTGTGTAAACACTTATTGCATTAACAATCTCCGTTCACTCAGCTCTCGTCGGTCGATGAACGCAGTGAAGACTGGAGCGTGCGAAGATACATTTTCATCGACCTTTAAGAAAATTTACTGATTTTTGAAGCCAGAATTGAATTTTTATTTGACATGAATATAGTGAATACCGTATTTTGCTTATGTTTAAGTTTTCTTAAATACATATATTTTAAAGTTTTAAACTACATGTACTTGAATGGCTGTGTAAAATACCCTGACATTATCCTTGACCATTGCAGCCATTTTCTTGCAGTTTTAAAATTCCCAGTCTCCCTTCACTAGGAAAATTATTTGTCTTTTTTCTATTCATTTTGGTATTTTACACTCTAATTAGAGTGAATCGCAAGCACAGTCCTTTTTCATTTAGCACATCATTTTACTTTTCTTTTGACCATTACAGCCAAAAATGTGATAATGACCTTCGGTAATATCAAAACATATGGAATTTGGATAAATTAACCCCAGCAGGACTAGTTTTGACAATTCAACATTTAACAAGCTGAAGTTCAACAAAAGATAGGATTTAAAGTATGGCAATAGTTGGGATTTCTACATACCTATAGTACTGACAAGTATGACAATAGTTGGGATTTCTACAACTGGACCTGCAGAATTTGTTGTAGCATAAGTGATTATATGCTCTATGGACTCCTTTACAAGCTGTACTGACGCCAGCGCCATGATAACTGACAGCACCACTATAGCTATAGGTTCTAGTTTTGTACGACCTGCAAATAGAGTGAAACACATTTGTGGTAGATATTCCTGAATCATCACATGTAGAGACTAGTGGGATTGTATCAGTGGCATTACACAAATGATTCTATAGCATCACACCTATTATTCTATAGCATCACTTGAATGATTCTATAGTATCACTCCTATATATGATTCTATATATCAGTACAGTATCATACCGATTATTCTATAGCATCACTAAAATCACACCTCTGGCTCTACAGTATCACAACAATGACTCTAAAGCCTGTCACATCAATAGTCTCTATAGTTTCACATATATGCCTTAATAGCATCAAACTTATGACTACATAGTATCACATATATGCCTTAATAGCATCAAACTTATGACTACATAGTATCACATATATGCCTTAATAGCATCAAACTTATGACTACATGGTATCACATATATGCCTGAATAGCATCAAACTTATGACTACATAGTACCACATATATGCCTTAATAGCATCAAACTTATGACTACATAGTATCACATATATGCCTTAATAGCATCAAACTTATGACTACATTGTATCACATATATGCCTTAATAGGATCAAACTTATGACTACATAGTATCACATATATACCTTAATAGCATCAAACTTATGACTACATAGTATCACATATATGCCTTAATAGCATCAAACTTATGACTACATAGTATCATATATATGCCTCAATAGCATCAAACTTATGACTACATAGTATCACATATATGCCTCAATAGCATCAAACTTATGACTACATAGTATCACATATATGCCTCAATAGCATCAAACTTATGACTACATAGTATCACATATATGCCTCAATAGCATCAAACGTATGACTACATAGTATCACATATATGCCTCAATAGCATCAAACTTATGACTACATAGTATCACATATATGCCTTAATAGCATCAATTTTATGACTACATTGTATCACATATATGCCTTAATAGGATCAAACTTATGACTACATAGTATCACATATATACCTTAATAGCATCAAACTTATGACTACATAGTATCACATATATGCCTTAATAGCATCAAACTTATGACTACATAGTATCACATATATGCCTCAATAGCATCAAACTTATGACTACATAGTATCACATATATGCCTCAATAGCATCAAACTTATGACTACATAGTATCACATATATGCCTCAATAGCATCAAACTTATGACTACATAGTATCACATATATGCCTCAATAGCATCAAACTTATGACTACATAGTATCACATATATGCCTCAATAGCATCAAACTTATGACTACATAGTATCACATATATGCCTTAATAGCATCAAACTTATGACTACATGGTATCACCAGTGGTCTTACCTTGCATTTCAAACATTGTTTTACATGTCTGTCTAAATAATATCCACAATAATTTCACACTTTGGACTGGATGTAAATGGATTCAAAACAGAGTGTTATTTAAGTCTGTCTTAATGCTTGGACTTAAAAGGGTACCACATCCTAAATCAGAATGTGGAATTAGACAGACAGAACAGAGCCAGTATATGACAATGTGATGCATATTAGTAGAAAGCATAAAGTTGTGCTGTGGTAGTTTTGAGAATTGAGAATCATGTAACTCTTATTTATTCATGCTATATGAACCCTAAAAGATATAAATATTCATATTGGAGACATAGGCATCAATATGCAAAATGTCACCACCTGCCATTTGTTACAGACATTGATCGCTGAACACCAACCGCCGAATGCTGACCACCAACTGCCAAACACCGCCACAAGAAAGTTGAAGACAATAACAATCTATCATCACTTCCGGTGTTTCTTAGCCTTCTTATATCAACCCTAATCTAGCCTAACCATGTTTTTCCATCTCCTGGGAAATTAAAAAATTACATAATGTGAGACGTGAGATCACTTCAATTAATTGAGTTTATTGAATAATCTAGCGATCTTATGTAGTAAATGTAGATATAATGCTCAAACGATACAAATAACCATATCAGGTAATAAATTAATAATGCAGAGTAAAAACTGAAAGGAGCTGTATATTATATATGATAGCACTTTTCCCCAATAAAGCAATGACTTGCCATCAAATGAGCCATGATAGCTGAAGGCACCTGAAGCCACCGAACCCTGTGTTGCATTCTTATGCATTGGAACGCCAAAAATAAAGTGCCTAAAAGTGGTAAGTGTGTTAACTTTAAATTAAGCCAGTCCTGGAAAAACACGATAAGATTCTAATCAATATTATACTAATAGGCAATTGTATCAGCTCCCCATAAACCATCACCTAACCAAACAAAGATTTTTCTAAATAATAATAAAAAGCAAACATTAACAAAAATCAATAGCTGGCGATAGTTGCGTATTCTACTTAGGAACGAGGAGGGGAAATTACATTTGGCTTTATGAAAGAAGAAGGTAGATCGTGAAGCACTATAGACTTTTCATCGATAGAAAGACCGGAGACAATTTACAGAAAATAAAAGACTTTTCATAATTCTACTTTGGCTTGTTATCTCACAAGGAAAAGTCCTATAACTTCAACAATGGGCTTTCGTGATAAACAAAGAACTTATTTCCCAGGAAAAATATGAGTTAGACACGTACTGTCAATAATTCCAATTATGTAATATGCAAATTGAGAAAGGACTTAAGACTGATTTAATAATGAACAATCACAAAGACATTTACCTTCATAAAATGTATTAACAAGAATTATGTCATCATTAATTGCTTGGTTTTACATAAAATAACTAAGAACAATAAAATTAAGACATAAAGCTTCATGAAGAGATTGCCGAGGTAGAAAAGTTTTATTGAAGGTAGGTTAGTTTTGTTATATCTACGTGTATGCTTTAGAATCTTTATGATTAGTTGATTAAACTGTATAAAATGGCTGTATTATTCAGCTTATCAAACATTTATATTATATAGGATATTTTTCCAAATCAAATAATTTTAACCAGAAAATGGCAAATCCATTGAGTAGTAAATTCCAACGGACAAAATATTAATAAATCTAATTTATTTCAAAAGATAATCGAAATGTGTGTAATACAATGTTCAGAATCCCTTAATTTGCATTAAAAAAAGCACAGACTTGGGAGACATCAGATTTCCTTTAAATTCAAGCATTTTGGTGGCTATTTTGGATTTTCAAAGGCACAAATTAAATAAAAGAGAAAATTCTCTTCAAATGAGAACCTCAAAATAAGACAGAAATTCTCATTTTCTCTACCCTCCTGGAGGTCTGGCAAAAACAACTGGAGAATATTTAATAGATACAATGAATGTATTTACTCCCAAAACTTCAAACAGTAATACTTTGCAATTTGACTAAAATAGGTAAACTTGGAATTCATGAAAAATGCCTAGGCCTGTCTATATATTTTCAAAGCAGTCAGACATTTCGATGGGTGGATGAGTTCAATATAAGAGACAAGGCATTAATATATAAAATGGCATCACCTGCCATTTGTTACAGACACTGAACGCTGAACACCAAACATAAAAAACTGGAGACTATAACAATATGTCACCACTTGTGTTGGTGACATAATGATGTACTAGTGTCAATGGTTATCAAATAATAAGGCAAATCTAATATTATTAAGAGTAAAAGATGATTTCATTTGTGAGAGACAAATCAACATTCTAAAATTGAACATTTGGACACAACCACTAAACAATTCAATACTAAAGACAAACTGACCGTATGTCTTCATACTTAGAATATAAATGGGAAAGAAGAAATAGAGGCTTAGAAGCAAATTAGTATCATTAAAAAATAATGCATGAATAAAAAGATAATAATTACAATCTATGCATTAATAGTGACCTGTTCAATGATAGGTAATTTATCTTACAGATATTTCTATTGTTCAGTGAACTATGACTTAATATGAGATACATCTTCATCCATCAGCAACCTGCCCCAAGAGACAAGGCATTGCTCTATCTTATTCCGGTGCGTCAATCTCACTTAAGATGGCAACTTTTTATGATTTTATTGCTTTAAATTAATCTCTTCAATTCTAACGAGGGTACATGTGATAACAAAAACAGGTTTAATTGTGTCATTTACTTAAAACAATATTTTACATTCGTTTTGAATGTTAAAAGTTCATACTTGAAAATTTAGCAATGGGACTGCAGCTTAAAACATAATTATGATTCTCTGTTGCAATCCAGGAGAGATCCACTCAGACTACACAAATTATCAGAAGATTATCTAAATATAAACATACCAATAAAGGTTTAAAAAGATTTTCAGTGTAGGAGTTGGATAAGTCTGACTAACTAGATTAAATACAAGAATTGGTAAACACTTACTGATACTACTGTAAAACTTCTCATATAATAGGAAAGCATTGACATTTACACAGTTGAATTATAGATTCCAGAACATCAAGACAATGGGGTGGATTAGTCCTTAGTTGACTGAACATGATCACAGTCCATAAACCTTGGCTCGTAATTAAATAAATCATTTGCTAATGAGAATTATATTAACTAATTACTTCCTCTAAACACTAACAAATGTCACACATTGGAAATTCTTAGATTTATTGTTGAGGCAATAACTAATACAGGGTAACCAAAAATCAGAGATTGCTTCTGTAATTCAAAGGGGTTTCATCATTTCCTCCTTATGCTGTTATAAACACATTTGGAGCCTATGTCACAACACTTGCGCCAATAATTTACCCAGGTAAATTTACTCAGATTCATGAAAATGTCTTGGAGTTTAAGATAGTGGTAACTGCTAATTCTACTAATTCTAAGTTACACTGTACCAGTCTAAATATTTAGAGGACACTCTGTATTTTATAAGATAAGTCACATTACTCATTTTGAGACATGATGAATTCTCAAGAAAGAACACCATCAAAGGACAACTGAAATAGCTTTTCTCAACTTGCAGCTACAAAAATGCGGTTTTCTCCATGGTAAGCCCACCGTAGAGTTCTTGCGATAGCCATTATAAAATAAATG